GCAGTGTTGAAAATTCGGCACAAAAAATTTGTGCATAAAAAAAAAAATTTTGTGCATGCACAAATCCCTGCGCCACCTGTTTACCTTTTATGTAAATGAATCATATATCAAAATAATTATGCCGTTAAGGTCTATACTAACATGTAAAAAAATAAAAATATCGCAATAATAAAAAAATATCATAATAATTATAACGGTAATGGTAAAGGTTTATGCTAATATGTATAAAGAAATAAAACTATCGCAATAATTAAGAAGTTTATAATTATAAGGGAACGTTATATGATCATTATAAAATTTTGCAATTCGCGGTATAATTTTTATAAAAACAAATTCAAATTCTGCAATTGTAGCTTAGATTTAATTATGAAAAATAACAGTAAACGTCAAATTAGTAAAGAAACTATAACTCAAGAACCGGATCAAAAAAAATCACGAAATTTAGAACCATCTTCTTCCTGGTTAAAAGAATGAAAATGGTTAGAGTATTGCGAAATTGATGGAACTTTATTAATGTTTTGTAAATGGTGTAAAGAGGCAAAATATGATAATACATTTACCCGGGGAACTAGCATCTTTAAGAAAGATATTGTTAAACGTCATGAAGAAAAAGATCAAAAACACCAAAAAGCAAAAGAACAACTTGGACCTATGATAACAGATCGGCTATTTGAAAGTGATCTTAAAATTATTCACCAAATGAAATGTGTTTATTTTGTAGCAAAAAAACATCTTTCATTTAATATCTATCCCGATCTATGTAGTTTAATTATGAAATGTAATAGTATTTCTTTAACACCTCAGCCGCTTAAGTTCCCTTCACAACAATTAAACGAATCCAACAATTATAGCAATTATTTAAATTCTACTGCAGCTCGAAAGTTTGCTGAAGCAATTGTACATGTAATTGAAACAAACCTTATTAATGAAATTCAATTATCAGGCAATTGGAGTATAATGATTGATGAAAGTACTTCAATGGATGAAAAGCATCTTGTTGTCGCTTCCCAACATCTAGCTTTTAATACACCTATAATTCGTTATTTAGGATTAATTAAACTAGAAGATTGTGGTACTGAAAATATTATGGAAAATTTAAAAACATTTATAGCACAAAAAAATTTATGTATTACGAATATTGCACACTTTGGAAGTGATGGTGCTTCAACAATGACAGGTAAAAATTTTTATTAATTACTATATATTTTTATTATTATTTTAATGTTAATTTTATATTTATAGGTTCTAAAAGTGGTATTGCTACACGATTAAAAAATATAAATCCTTTTATAACCTCAGTACACTGTATTGCGCACCGTTTACATCTTGCAGATCAAGATGCAGCCAAAGAAGTTCCTTATTTTAAAGAATATGAGGCTATTTGTAGATCACTTTATAATTACTTTAGTAGCTCATATAAACGAATGTTAAATTTAAGAATGATTCAAGAAACCAATGATGATCTACAATTAAATTTACTTAATATTATTAACACACGATGGCTTTCTATGTCGAATGCAGTTAAAAATTTACACCAAATTCTTGACTCAGTTAAGGATGCATTGAATCACGATATTATAACTGTTGAAAATAAACAAGATCAAAAGATGACCAGAGAATTATTAAATAATTTGGATCCAAATTTTACATTAATTACTAAGTTTCTTGCTGATTTAATGTTTATTTTGACAAAGCTAATTAATATTTTTCAACGAGATTATGTTACTGTTTCTGATGTTCAATTTAATTTAGATATAACATTTTCAGCTATTACAACACAATTCATTGGAAATGAAACTACTGCACCAACATATAGAACATTTTTACGTGAATATTTAGAAAAAAATTCTATAAGCTCAGTACAAGTTCCCTCTTCAATTACGGGATTTGCAAAAGCAATTATTAAAGCTTAAAATCTCGTTTTCCAAACACAAGTTTACATTATGCAATGAAAATTTTTGAGCCAAACTTATTACCTCGAAAAGATTCTGATTTTTCAAATTATGGTGAAACCGAAATTGAATTATTGGCTAATTTTTATGGCAATGATAAGCAAACTAAAGATGGTAAAATTATTGCAGCTTTAGTTAATAAGCAAGAATTAAAACAAGAATGGAGATTAGTAAAAGAAATAATGAAAACTATGCGGGAATTTAATCTTATAGAAGGATGGAATTTTATTTTTTCTACAAAACCTTATTTTTGTAACGAATTTCCAAATATTTCTTTACTTGTTAAACTCACCCTTATTATTCCTTTATCTAATGCACATGTCGAACGCATTTTTTCTCAGCATAAATTAGCTAAAAACAAATTGCGAAATCGAATGAATGCAAATACACTTAATATGCTTTTAATGATTCATGAAAATGCATCAGATAATATTGATCTTTTTGATTGGAAGGCAGCATATCATTTTTGGAAAAAACATGCACAATAAGTTAGTTGATATATTGTTTTTTTAGTTGATAAATTTATTTTTTTTTTGGCTTTTCATTTTAATAAAAATATTATAAACTTTTTGTGCATTTTATTGTGCGATTGTGCAATTAGTGCTAAGTTATCTTGCACAATGTATTGTTAATTTTGTGCAAATAACAATACATGCACAA